TGGAGTGCAATGGCGCGATCTCGGCTCACCGCAACCTCCGCCTCCTGGGTTCAGGCAATTCTCCTGCCTCAGCCTCCTGAGTAGCTGGGATTACAGGCACGCACCACCATGCCCAGCTAATTTTTTGTATTTTTAGTAGAGACGGGGTTTCACCATGTTGACCAGGATGGTCTCGATCTGTTGACCTCGTGATCCACCCGCCTCGGCCTCCCAAAGTGCTGGGATTACAGGCTTGAGCCACCGCGCCCGGCCCAGACTACTGCTCTTAATTCCACATGAGCGCTGCTCTTTAGCCAGACTCACACATCAAACATTCCCCTAAGACCTCTTAAAGGTCTTTCTCATCATGATGTCTTTTTGTCTTCTTCCTTCTCTCCATCACTACATCTCATTCTTGTTGGTTCTTTAAATCTGCCTTGTGAGGAGAAGTCCTACCTAACCACTCAGTCCCACAGTGATTGCACCTGCTCTGAACCCGTATGATACTTTCTGCATCACTCTTGTACCTCTCACTGTTTTGTTGATTATTTTTTAAAATGTGTGTCTCCTTTCCCCATCTAACCAACTTGAAGGCAGGAAATGTGTTGTCTATATTTTAGGCTTCCACAGTACCTGCGTCAGTATTGATGTTTTAGTACTTAGTACTTATCTGAGGTGTGAATTAAATGCATGTTGCTAGTATTTATTAATTTCAAATGGAATTAAAAACAGGAAATGGGCTGGGCACAGGGGCTCACACCTGTAATCCCAGAAAGTTGGGAAGCCAAGGCCCGTGGATCACCTGAGGTCAGGAGTTCGAGACCAGCCTGGCCAACATGGTGAAACTCTGTTTCTACTAAAAATACAAAAATTAGCTGGACGTGGTGGCACGTGCCTATAATCCCAGCTACATGGGAGACTGAGACAGGGAGAATTGCTTGAATCTAGGAGGCAGAGGTTGCAGTGAGCTGAGATCGTGCCACTGCGCTCCAGCCTGGGTGACAGAGTGAGACTCCATCTCAAAAACAAAAACAAAAATGCAAATGAAACAGGAAGTGTTTGGCAATACTTAGAATATTGTTTATAAGCAGATTCTTCTAAAATGGTATAATAGTTGTAATGCTTTCTTGTTATATAGCAGACTACTGGGCTTTTCTGTGCCTGGGACAGTCTCATGAGTAGTATTGTCACTGTGTCTCTTTCTTCTTTGTAACACCACTACCTCTCAGTGCTCAGTTAATTTATATAGATGAAAAAAATTAATGGCATTTGAGTTAATTAGGCCTGCACCTTTAACTTTACTCTTTTGAGAACATGACTACCTTATAAATTGTTTTGCTATTTAGTAATTACCTTGTTTTCTCAAAAGTGTGTTTGCATAAGTGTTAGTAAGTTCTGAGAGGGTACTCAACTGAGAATAAGAGTTCTCTTCCTGGCCAATGTTTTAGGAAAATTAGCTGAATATTTTCAATGCTAAGTATTGGTGTTATGATCTCATCTCCCATTATTTGAAGTTTTAGTTATTTATTTGATTCTGATAGTTCACAAAACTATCATCTAAGTTTACTTAATTAGTTGGTTTTATAAAAATTGACATTCAAATTAGAGGGAACTGCCTTTACCATTTTGCTGGAGATTATGTCAGAAAGAATGTAACTTTTCTCTTTTGCCCATCAGTTTGATTTTTCTCTGTAATTGAGTGAAGAGTAAATCATCTTTTAAAGTTGATTAAAGTTTTGATTGCTCACATATACTATACTGTACTTTATTATTATTTTTTTAAGATGGGATTTCACCATGTTGGTCAGGCTGGTCTTGAATTCCTGACCTCAGTTGATCCACCCGCCTTAGCATCCAAAGTACTTGGATTACAGGCGTGAGCCACCATGCCCAGCCTATACTGTACTTTAAAAAAACATAATATTGCTCTAAAGCAGGGTTAACAAAGAGCCCGATAGCATTTTAGGCCTTGCAGGTCATATAGTGTTGTAATTATTCAATTCTGCTGGAATGGCATGAAAGCAGCCATAGACAATATGTAAATGAATGATCATTACTGTGTTCCAATACAACTTTATTTACAATATGGATAGCAGGCCAGATTTGACCCATTGGCCATCATTCACTATCACTCTTCTAAAGCAGTTTTTTGTTTGTTTGTTTTTTGTTTTGTTTTGTTTTGTTTTTTAAGATGGGGTTTCACCATGATGGCCAGGCTGGTCTTGAACTCCTGACCTCAGGTGATTCACCCACTTCGGCCTCCCAAAGTGCTAGGATTACAGGCATGAGCCACCGTGCCCGGCCAAAGCAGTTTTTCTGAAGATTTCAAGTTACTTTTTAAAAAGTAACTTGATATTTTTGACAGGGAAATATGTGGTATTTAGCTCTTCTGTTTGTTTTTATGTAAAGGTTACTTTGTTTGTTTTAGCTTTAGAACTTTGGACCCTGTGCCTGAATTTAGGCCTTCTGAGTGAGGAGGAGCCTCAGTACCTGAGGAGCAGGTATTTCCTTTCCTGCCATTGGGCAAATGCCTGGAAATGGTAGGTAGGCCTAAGTTACAATGAAGGAGGCATGCACTCTTGGAAGATTGTCAGTCCCAGGGCAATTAGTGGTATTTTTATTTCTTATTCTGGGCTTCCTCTTATATTACTTAGTTAGATTTGGGGCTATTATGTAGTTTTTTATTCTTCTTCAAGTAAGCCAGAGCAATAGACACAAGCTTGAACCTTAAAGCTTTACATGGACTAGATCCACCTTTAGCTGAATGTGGAACATCTCCCTGCTCCTGGGGGTGCTTGACTCTTCCTAGGCAATTTTCTCATCATTTTGCCTTAGGTGTGACTATTTTAGGGAAAACTCAGCGGTGTCATTTGCTTGCAACTCTAGGGTAAGTGTCCAGTTCTCTGCGTCATAGCCCAGCATCTGAGAATCTCTATTCTAAGGTTGGGTTGAGAGTTGTAAGGGAACCCACTTTGTTTTCTGGAATTTCTTGAGGAAACTCCCCAATCTGATTCAGATGTGTTTCTATCAGTTTTTTGTGACACATGACAATATGTAAAAACTTGACCTCAAGACTTACTTCAGTAATATTAGATACTTCTGATGGGTTTTCCATAAGAGGTCTGGAGGTCAGCTTATCATTTGCTAACACAGTGGGTTTCCTACTATTTTCAAGATTCTCAGGGGTCTAATTTGGAAAGGTGGGGTAAGGGGTGGTAGGGCCTGGACTTCTATCTTCCTCTTCAATCCTGGCCAAACTACTTTGATATTTTTTTTTCTTCTTTTTGAGACGGAGCCTCGCTCTGTCACCTAGGCTGGAGTGCAGTGGCATGGTCTCGGCTCACTGTAGCCTCCACCTCCTGGGTTCAAGCAATTCTCCTGCCTCAGCCTCCTGAGTAGCTGGGATTACAGGTGCCCACCACCACGCCTGGCTAATTTTTATATTTTTAGTAGAGACGTGGTTTCACCATGTTGGCCAGGCTGATCTCGAACTCCTGACCATCCGTGATCTGCCTGCCTCGGCCTCTCAAAGTGCTAGGATTACAGGCGTGAGCCACCACCTCTGGTCTTCTGTGTTTTATAGATCATTCTTTTCTATAAGATTTCCCCTGGAAAAAATGGTCTTGCAGTGAGTTTTAAAACTGTTGTTTCTGGGTATCCTGGGAACCTTGGAGTTTCCATCTTTGGCTAAGTGTCTTTTTCTAAAATTAGAGCAGCAGTAGCAGGTATTTATTTCTGAAGCAATGCCTACATACCTCATCAATTTTGGGGACCTATTAGGCTATTCTATCCATCCCATATGCCCTTCTCTAGCAGACCTTAGCTTCAGAGGGACTGTGAGGACTATAAAATCACATGCAGAATTCTTGCAAATATGTATTTTAAAAACTTAAAAAGAATACAAAGACTGTTCTGCTTCAGTGTGAGCAGCAAGGATGGCTGTGTGTATTTACTCTTTCATTCAACAAAAACCTATTGAGTGCCTGCTAATCCGTGTTAGGCACATGCTAGACATAGAAAATCCAGAAGTGAAGTTTATGTTTGAATTCCCACCTTCCTCCCAGAAACTTTCCAAGTTCTCATAGGAGTGGTAGGTTTAGATCCCGGAGTGCTGAACTGTACAACGAGTAAGTAGTAGCTTTAAACTGCAGATAGTATGCCTAGCTCTCTCTGCTGATACTGTTAGGGAGCTTCATTGGACCACTGCTTGCCACGTCCATGAGTCACCTGTCCTAAAGCTGTTGCTGTCTCTCCTCCAGGCTTGTCAGTGATATCTGTCTGTCTTCTTCAGACAGGAACAGGGTTCCAGTCAGATTCGACTATGCTTACAGGTCCTGAGAGCCATTCAGAAACTGGCCCGTGAGTCATCTCTCATGGCCCGAGAAACCTGGGAAGTCTTACTGTTGTTTCTTCTGCAGATTAATGACATACTTCTGGCCCCACCAACTGTTCAAGGTTTGTTTATTTTATTTCTGATTTATTTCTGAGCTCCAAATACAGTTCATCTTTAAACTTAGTGAGTGGTAGACTCATTGGGGATTTAGATTTTGGCATGACAGTTTACAAACGAAGGTTAACAATTATTAGAATGGAAACCCTCAGGCAAAATATAGCTTTAGCACTAATGAAATTATTTTACCTTTAGTAATGATTTTGCTAATGTAGGAAAGAACTCAGTGAATTATGCATGTTTAATAATAATGGGAACAGTAGCTTATTTAATATGTTAGGATAGGCTGGGCATGGTGGCTCAGGCCTGTAATCCCAGCACTTTGGGAGGCCAAGGCAGGTGAATTACCTGACGTCAGGAGTTCGAGACCAGCCTAGCCAACATGGTGAAACCTCATCTCTACTAAAAATACAAAAATTAGCTGAGTGTTGTTGTGGGTTCCTGTAATCCCAGCTACTTGGGAGGCTGAGACAGGAGAATGGCTTGAACCTGGGAGGTGGAGGTTGCAGTGTGCCGAGATTATGCCATTACAGTCCAGCCTGGGCAACAAGAGTGAAATTCTGTCTCTCAAAACAAAACAAAACAAAATGTTAGGATAGATCCTATATAAGAAACAACTGGCCAGGCATGGTGGCTCACACCTGTAATTCCAGCAGTTTGGGAGACTGAGGCAGGCGGATCACCTGAGGTCAGGAGTTTGAGACCAGCCTGGCCAACATGGTGAAATCCAGTCTCTACTAAAAGTACAAAAATTAACTGAGTATGGTGGTAGGCACCTGTAATCCCAGCTACTCAGGAGGCGGAGGCAGGAGAATCGCTTGAACCTGGGAGGCGGAGGTTGCAGTGAGCCGAGATCACGTCACTGCACTCCAGCCTGGGTAACAAGAGAGAGACTGCGTCTCAAAAAAAAAAAAAAAAAAAAGAAACAACCAATTAAATTAGAACCTATAGATAACGTATTACAAAGTAGTTATCAAAGTAGAGTCTGAAAACTTGATAGTGACAGAAGATATTTTACTCAGCAAATGAAACCTCCAAAGTCTTTTTTCTATTTGGAAGTGTGCCAGTTTGCTAGCCGTTACAATGCCTCCAATTTTATAAGACTTTACAGTGTATTTCAGAAACCCTGCTTTGTATGTCATAGCATAATATATGTAAATTATAAGTTGATCATCTACTTCCAAGTTCTCTTGCTTATTTATCGGTGTACTCTCTTTTCTAACACATATGAGTGCTTGTGCTCTCACACAGATGCAGTGTTCAGGGAAATATTTAAAAGGAAGCATAGGATTTCACTGTGGGAGGGGACACCATGATAGGAATACTCTGTCTGGTATTGACAGTACTGGCCAGTCATTGATTCATCACCTCTCTGCTACTTATTCCCCATGCCAGGGATCTCAACAGCATGAGGCAGACAATTCATCCCCTTCTTGGGCTCTTTGTTGTTGAAACTTTGGTTTTGCTCATTTGAAACACACTTTCTTTTAACTTTTCCTGTGAGTCCCAACTTTACCTTCTGGAGCTAGGCAGTATAAAGACCACTGCTGTTTTTCCTCCTGGTTCCAGGAGGAAAAACAGGGGAACAGCCACATTTTCATGGTTAAGGCTCTGTCCTTCCCAGCACCAGTCCTTTTGCTCCATTATTTCTCTCGGTCTCTCTCTCCCTTGGAGGGCGGCTTTCAAATACTTGGAGCATTGTATGGCAAAGTTTGGAGGTAAAAAGACATGGGTGTTTGTTCTGATTCCTTCACTTACTGGCTGCATGAAGTCAGAGAAGTTACTTAAACTTTCTGAATCTAAGTTTTCTCATCTTCAAAATGGGTATAATTGGCGGTTAATATTAGGTATTACGGATACCTATCCTACAGAATTAATGTGAGGATTTTATGAGGTCACTTGTTTGAACTATTTGGCGTAGAAACTCTCAGTGGTCAGTCATCATAGACAGTCATCCTTTTCCTTCTTCCCTGTGTCCCTCTGTCCCCTTGCTGATTAAGGCGTTCAATAAGAATTAAACAGGGCAACTTGAAATCTTTCAAAGTAAAAATTTTTTGATGTATGTATGATTTTGGGCACAGGAACTCCTAAGAATTGCTTCTCATTTTTACTATGAAATGATTATTTGGAAGTCAGAACTTAACATTGCACTTACTTTAATTTTTTGACCAGTTCTCCCCAGTCAGTGACTAAAAGATTCTGCTTTAAAACCAAGTTTGCCAAAGATATGTTTTCTTGTCGTTGGTAAGGTGGCATTGCTGAGAATCTAGCAGAGAAGTTGATCGGTGTTCTCTTTGAGGTGTGGTTACTAGCTTGTACTCGGTGCTTCCCAACACCTCCTTATTGGAAAACAGCCAAGGAGATGGTGGCTAACTGGAGGCATCACCCAGCAGTGGTGGAGCAGTGGAGCAAGGTCATTTGTGCGCTCACTTCCAGGTAGGTTATTGTCATTGCCCTGCCTTCCTTCACCTGTCTGACCTTAGGCAGCTTCCTGGCATTCATGGAATACATTATTAAAAAGGCTGGGTCTGTTATTACTGTGCTTTAGATACAGACCTGCCTTTTAATAATGTATTCCATGAATGAGCCACTTTTTAAACATAGATATAACAGCTTGGATAATGCCTGTTAAAAAACCTTTCAGAATAATCAAGTATTTTTGAGAAACAGATAAATTTTATACCCTACTTCCCCGACAAAAAAATTCCATTCTTGTTTTGATTATTAAAACATACATAATCATTATTTTAAAGAAACAAACCATAGAAAGGTATAATAGAAAAGTTAAGTTCTCCTGAAATCCTACCACGTATGTTTAGATATAATTTTACAGAAACGGGAACCTACTATACATGCTACTTTATAACCAAAGTAGGTAGTTTTTTTATAATAATAATTTTACCCTTTTACCATTTACATATAATACCATCACTATTCTATAAGTATACTCTTAGGTTCATTTTTTTTCAGACTTATTTTTTCAATTCCATCCTGATGTTAGTATATAGCCATATCTTGTTTTATTGCACTTTACTATGTCGAGCTTCACAGATAGCATGTTTTTTTGTTGTTGTTTTTTTCTTTCGTTCTTTTTTTTTTTTTTAAACCAATTGAAGGGTTGTAGTGATCCTGTACCAAGCAAGTCTGTCAGTGCCATTTTTCTAACAGCATGTGCTCACTTTGTGCCTCTGTCACATGTTGGTAATTCTTGACTATTTCAGACTTTTTTATTACGATTCTGTCTGTTATCGTGACCTGGGATCAGTGATCTTTGATGTTACCATTGTAATTGTTTTGGAGTGCCATGTACTACATCTGTATAAGATGGTGAACTTAATTGATCAGTGTTGTTTGTGTTTTGACAGCTCCACTGACCAGCTGTTCCCATCTCTTTCCCCTGCTTGAGGCACAATGATGCTGAAATTAGGCCAGTTAGTAACTCTGTAGTGGCCTCAAAAAAGTGTTCGAGTGAAAGGCACAAAGTGAGCACATGCTGTTGGAAAAATGGCACCGACAGTATCGCATGTCTCTCACTTTAAATCCAAAGCTATAAATGATTAAGTTTAGTTAGGAAGGTGTGTTGAAAGCTGAAATAGGCTGAAAGCTAGGCCTCATACACCAATTGGTTAGCCAAGTTGTGAGTGCAAAGGAAAAGTTCTTGAAGAAAATTAAAAGTGCTGCACCACTGAACACAGGGGTGATGAGAAAGCAAAACAGGCTTATATATGATATGGAGAAAGTTTGAGTGGTCTAGATAGGAAATCAAAGCAGTCACAACATTTTCTTAGGCCAAAGCCTAGTCCAGATCAAGCCCTAACTGTCTTTAGTTCTATGAAGTCTTTGAGAGGTGAGGAAGCTGCAGAAGAAAGGTTAGGAACAGGCCAAGGTTGGTTCATGAGATATAAGGAAAGAAGTGTGTCTGTAATATGAAAGTGCAAGCTGAAGCAGCAAGTGTGATGGAGAAGCTGCAGCAAGTGATCCAGATGATCTAGCTAAGATCGTTGATGAAGGCGGCTTCACTAAACAACAGATTTTCACTGTGCATTAAACAGTCTTACATTGGAAGAAGACATAATCTAGGACTTCTATAGCTAAAGAGTAGAAGTCAATGCCTGGCAAGCTGAAACCAGTGTTCATTCACCGTTTGGAAAATCCTAGAGCACTTAAGAATGTTGTTAAAATTGTGCTTTCCTCAGCAGCATATATACTAAGAACGATGTTAAATTTATTCTGGCTGGATGCAGTTGCTCACGCCTGTAATCTCAGCACTTTTGGGAGGTCGGGGTGGGCAGATCACTTGAGCTTAGGAATTTGAGACCACCCTGGACCACTTGGCAAAACCCTGTTTACAAAAAGTACAAAAATTAGCCAGGTGTGGTGGCTTGTGGCTGTAGAACCTACTTCCCAGGTTCGAGGGATTCTTGTGCCTCAGCCTCCTGAGTAGCTGGGATTACAGAGGTGCACCACCACACCCTGTGAATTTTTGTATTTTTAGTTGAGACGGAATTTCACCGTGTTGGCCAGGCTGGTCTCAAACTCCTGGCCTCAAACACTCCACCCACCTCAGCCTCCCAAAGTGCTTAGATCACAGGCATGAGCCACTGCACCCGGCCTGACTTTCAAATCTTACTTACGACTACAGTTGATCCTTGAATAACATGTATTTGAACTGTGTGAGTCCACTTACATGTAACAGATTTTTCTCAATTAAAAATGGAATTCTTTTTGAGACTTGAAACAATTTGAAAAAAAAAATGTGCAGATGAGTCGTGTAGCCTAGAAATACTGAAAAAAATTAAAAAGTTAGGTATGTCATATAAAATATATGTAGATGCTAGTTTTGTATCATTTACTACCATAAAATATACACAAATATATTATGCTAAATTAAAATTTATTGAAACTTATGGATACAAATGCTTATAGACTATATACATGGTTCCATTTGCAGTAAACAATAAAGAAATGTAAACAAACAAAAGCTGCAGTATTAAATCATAATTGCATAAAATTAATTGTGAGACATACTATACTACTGTAATAATTTTGTAGCCACTTCTTGGTGCTATTGCAATGAGCTCAAGTGTTGTGAATATTCACTTAAAACTCCATGTGACACTAATGATCTCTGCTGGAGCAGTTAATCTCTCCAGTAAAAAGTGATCTCACAGTTTTCATTTATTTTTCATCATGTTTAATACCATACTGTAAACCTGGAATACATAATACCATGGGACGCATAGGCGGAGGATTGCTTTAAAAAAATTATGCATCTGTTTTAAAATAAAACATTTATCTTAATTATAAAAATAGTACATGCTTATAATAGAAAATTTGGAAAATGTAGGGACAAGTACTTGTCATTTAGAGCCAACCCATGTTAACATTTTAATGTATTTTTTTCATTTAGTTCCCCTTTTTAAAGTGCCAGTTTAACATTATTCTATATAATATTGTTGTCTGCTGTTTTCATTTGATGCCTGATTCTTGTCACTTCAGTTACACCTACTTTTTCTCATTCTTAAATAGCTGTTGAGATCATATTTTTAATGATTTTGTAGTTTTCCATTATATAATTGAATTATTCATTTAATAATTTACTTCTTATTGTTGTTATTTTTGTTTTTTTAAGGCAGTGTCTTGCTCTGTTACCCAGGCTGGAGTGCAGTGGTATGATCAGGGCTCACAGCAGCCCCAACTTCCCCAGGCTCAAACAATCCACTCACCTGAGCCTCCCGAGCAGCTGGGAGCTATAGGTGCATGCCACCATGCCCGGCTAATTTTTGTATATTTTGTAAAGACGAGGTTTTGCCATATTGCTCAGGAAGGCCTCAAACTCCTGGACTCAAATGATCCACTGGACTTGGCTTCCCAGAGTGCTGGGATTATAGGCGTGAACCACTGTTCCAGCATTTTTTTTTTGAGATGTGTTGTCCAGCACGGAGTACAGTGGTGCAGTCATGGCTCATTGCAGCCTTGAACTCCTGACTTCAAGCAGTCCTTCCATCTTCCTCTGCTGCTGTTTTGACATTTATGTTGTTCCCATTGTTTTATTTAAAAAATATTGGTGATATGAATGATTTTTAATTTTTTTTCCAGAGACAGAGTTTTACCATGTTGGCCAGGCTGGTCTTGAATTTCTGACCTCAGGTGATCCGCCTGCCTTGGCCTCCCAAAGTGCTGGGATTACAGGCGTGAGCCACCGCATCCGATCTGTATGAATGATTTCTACAGTCTTTTTTTTTTTTTTTTTTTTTCCTGAGATGGAGTCTCACTCTATCACCCAGGTTGGAGTGCAATGGCATGATCTCAGCTCACCACAGCCTCTGCCTCCCAGGTTCAAGCGGTTCTCATGGTTCTCCTGCCTCAGCCTCCCAAGTAGCCAGGATTACAGGCACCCCCCACTACCCTGGCTAATTTTTGTATTTTTAGTAGAGACAAGGCTTCACCATGTTGGCCAGGCTGGTCTCGAATGCCTGACCTTGTGGTCTACCCTCCTTGGCCTCCCAAATTGCTGGGATTTCAGGCATGAGCCACCTCGCCCAGGCTATACACAGTCTTTATATATATTCTGATTCTATTATCTTTAGATAGAGAATAATTGAGTCAAACGACTTTGAATACTTTTAATACATTTAGAATATTACTATTAAGTAATTGAGTTGTTGAATTTAGTTATTTTTATGGTGTGTCATAAGTTCTAAACTTCATGTAATTCTATTATAACTTAGTTATATTGCAGAAATTTGCAGTGAGATCAATCTTTAAAAATTTAAATATCATATGATTATATAATTACATACATAAAGAGTATAATTTTTTATAATATGTAATATATATGTGATTTCTAATATGTAATTATTTAAATACAGTTTTAAATTATATGTGTCTTAAATAATTTAAAACATTCTTTTTTGTGTGTACTTGTTTATTTTACCCAAAAACTCATGTGTGATGCTGATAACACATGTGTATAACATAGAAAATATATACACCAGAACATACTCTCCACTTCCCAGCTTCGTTTTATTAGAAATCATTTTGAAAGTCTCCAATTTGTTCTCAATTTAAAACTTTTTTTTTTAATGGACACATAATAGTTGGACATATTTGTGGGTACATAGTGATGTGTTTTGATATATATAAAATGTATGGTGATTGGATCAGAGTAACTATCATGTCTGTCATCCCAAACATAAAAAACCAGAAATCCTCTTTCCATTTGTCCATTTTATAAATGAGGGTTTCCATATATCTTATTCACTTATGTGAGGTACACATGTTTCATGTATTTTCTCTTTCATGTTTCTATGCTTGAGCGTATTTTTCAATCTGTTAAGAAATGGACTTGGTGTGCATTTATTTTCTAGATTGCTACGCTTTACGTATGGTCCTTCATTTCCTCCATTTAAAGTTCCCGATGAAGATGCCAGTCTGATCCCTCCAGAAATGGATAATGAGTGTGTTGCACAGACATGGTTTCGCTTTTTACATATGTTAAGGTATTACTATTTTTTTATTATTTCATGTGCTATTTACCCAGTAAGTGTCTCAGGGCAGGAACTATAAGTCTCTTGTTTGAATTCGGAATGTGGATGCTAAGCACCATTCATCAAATCGAACCCAGTTGGACAACAAGCACATTTCTGTCCTGTGCCTTCTGCTCTGTGGGACATTTATTCTGTTGTAAACGATCTGATTCTTAAAGTTTTTTCTTGCATATCTTCTCTTTCTGGCCTAATTTTTCTATTTGTGTATTGACTAGCCTAATTTTTCTATTTGTATATCAGTAATTCTGAATTACTTTTTATGACCTTTTTATAAGTTAGGCATGTTAATCATTTTTTATTATTTCTTCCCATTTTGTAGTTATAGTGCTCTTTGATCAGATAGGTAGTCACCTATGATTTCTTCCAATTTTATTTCCTTTGTAATAGTAAGTTCTTTTATATACCACAGGATCTGCCTTTATACACACACACACACACACACACACACACACACACGCGTACACGTACTCACACACACATATATACACATCTACAAATATACACACATATATGCACACACACACACACATACACACACACACACAACGCACACATATAATTTGTAGAGATGGGGTCCTCCTGTGTTGCCCAGGCTGGTCTCAAACTCCTAGACTTAAGCAGTCCACCTGCTTCAGCCTCCCAAAGAGCTAGGATTACAGGCATTGAGCCACTATGCCCAGCCTGGGATTTGTCTTTAGTATATATATTACTTTATTAATTTCTTCATTTATTTTTATATCAGATTCACACTCCTAATTATTTTAACTTTATAATCTTTACTGATATTTAGTAGGCCTAATGTTTTTCTCTTTCTTCTTCTCTTGGAATATTTATCTCTTCTTGCCTGTTTAACATTTCCAATCAATTTTAGAACTAATTTTTCAAGTTATAAAACATAAGCAAACAGAAAGAAAAACCTCAACAAAACCTTCTGGGGTTTGGATTGTATATTAATTAGGGTAAAGAATACATTCTGCTTTAGCAAATGAACCTGAAAATCTTTTATAAAGTCTGGAGTGGGACTGGCTCTGCTTACATAGTCTTAAGAGACCCTGCTGGCAGAGGCTCTTTCGTCTTCAACAGATGACTCCATTAGGGCCTCAATGTTATAAGCAGGAGTCTTGGATCTGGCTAGCAGATGGGGAACAGAGAGCAAGGAAAATTTTGTAGGAGGGTTTTATGTGTCAGGCTTTGAAGTAATATAAATCACTGCCACTCATATTCCATTGGCCAGAACTCAGACACACACCACACTTAATTGTAAGAGAACAGAGAAGAAAAGAGGAAGTGGTGAACAGTTAGCCAGACTCTACCAAAGATGAGAATTGTATTAAGCCTGTATTTATATTCAGGAAAAGCTTATATCTAATATTGAGTCTGCCTTTTAAGAGTATATCTTTTTCTTTATTTTTAGAATTTTGTATATCTTATTGAAATGTTTTACAGTTTTCTTCACAAAGATTTTAATATTTTCTTTACCATTATTTCTAGGTATTGCTGATGTTGTGAAAAGCAAACTCTTTTCTGCAATTCTGTCTTCTAGATGGCTATTACTGCTGTAAAGAACATTTTTTACTTTATGTTATTTTGCATACTATATATGGCATTTAAAAGAGCTCTGAGTATTTCACTGATTCTTCTGAGATATGGACACATATCTGCAAATAAGTGTCTCTTTCCTAATAATTCATACTTATTTTGGTGACTAATTAAAAGTACTTTGGATGCAGTAAGGCTTGGACTTGAGTTCTGCTAGTTTTTTCTTTGTGAACTTGAACAAACAATTTATTCTCACTGTGCCTCAGTTTCTTTAATCTACATAATGGGAATAATGATAGTACCATCTCGTTGTAAGAATTGAAGAAGAAAAAGCATGTAAAATGATATGATGCCTAGTGCATGGTAGGTGCTTGAAAAGTTGCTATTATTATTACAGCCAATTCTGTATATTATTTTACCGCATCCATCAGAATTTCTAGAACACTGTTGAATTAAAATGATACTGTTTTGGCACCTTTTTTGGTTCTGATTTTCATTGGAATGCCTCTAATATATGGAATTTTGAGTAGGATGTTGGTTGTTGATATTAGATGTTTTTTTTTATGCTCCTGGTTTCCTAAGCAATTAAGAAATTTAAAAAATATAGGCTGGGCATGGTGGCTCACACCTGTAATAATAGCACTTTGAGAGGCCAAGACGGGCAGATCACCCAAGCTTAGCAGTTTGAGACCAGTCTGGGAAGCATGGTGAAACCCCATCTCTACTAAAAATACAAAAAACTGGGCAAACTGGGCCAGGCATGGTGGCTCACGCTTGCAATCTCGATACTTTGGGAGGCTGAGGTGGGCGGATCCCTTGTGGCCAGGAATTTGAGACCAGCCTGGTTAATATGCTGAAACCCCATCTCTACTAAAAATACAAAAAATTAGCCAGGCGTGGTGGCACATGCCTGTAGTCCCAGCTACTTGGGAGGCTGAGGCAGGAGAATCGCTTGAACCTGGAAGGGAGAGGTTGCAGTGAGCCAAGATCGTGCCATTGTACTCCAGCCTGGGCCATAGAGTGAGACTTCGTCTCAAAAAGAAAACCAAAAAAACAAAATACGAATTAGCCGAGCATAGTGATGCACCTGTAATTCCAGCTACTCAGGAGGATGAGGCACAAGAATTGTTTGAGCTCAGGAGGTAGAGTTACAGTGAGCCAAGATTACACCACTACACTCTAGCCTGGGCAATAGAGCAAGAGTGAATCCAAAAAAAAAAAAAAAAAAATTAAAATATAAATAAAATCAGAAGTAGTACTGAATTGTTTCAAATAATATTTTTGGATCCATTTAAGCAATTAAGTGGTTTTTCTTCTTTCATCTATTGATGTGAAATACTAATTAATTTCCCAATGTTGAACCATCTATCATTCCTGAAAGAAAAGTTTTGCTTGGTTATGGAGTGCTCTTAATGTTTTTCTGAATTGTCTATAGTTCTATTTTTTGACAAATTGAATAGGAAAACTTTGTTTTTTTATGCTCTGTTGTGTCAAAGTTTTATGTTCTCAAGAATTTGAAATAACAGAAAACTCTAGTCCTAGAGTTTTTTAGAGGTAGTTCTTAGATAATCTTTCTTGTTGAGCTGACTGTGGTACTTTACTCAGGATCATTTTGGATGGAAAAAATAGGAGACTACTTAAGCAAATGCAGGTGTGAAAAAGATTATGTGATGTTAAGAGCATTCTTACTAGGCTCCATGAAGCAGTGAACAGCCTTTTCTCATGTTGGGGAGGGACCCAGGCAGCCTTAGGACAAGCCACTCTGTCATTTGTCTTTCTTTGCTTTTTTGATTCTCTTGTGCATACAGAACAACTATTCTCTTTTTCCAGCAGGCTTCCTCCTGAGTCCCTGTTTGAGAGGGGGACATGCAGTCTCTTGGTAACTGCCCAGTGGTGTAAATAGCTATGATACTGTTTGACTTTAGTGCTTGTCTTTCAGTTCATGGGGGCTTTCCCGTTGCTTAGTTTCTCAAAAGGGAAAATTGGGTCAAGTTATCTTTGTTAACTATGTCTCTGGCAGACATCTGGATAACTCCTTTAGGACAATTTTACCTCCTTTCTTAAATGAGCTACTAGTGGGTAGAAGGCAGGTCATGAGGATTATTTATGATTCTGATTATTTGTGATTGTTGGTAGATTTCCTAGGATGAACGTGGAATATGATGGGGAGATAAGCATCAACATTTTGTCTTGTATGTTAGTGCTTTATCTTTTTCCAGGAAAACCAAAAAATGTTTCTCATTTGTTTCCCATACTGTTCTCAAATCCTTGTCTTTGGACTTGTGTATGACCACCTGCCCTTTAGGCCCTACCTGGAGATTGTTTCAGTAAATTTAAGTGGAATCTGGATTTTCAACAAGTTCCCCACATGTGTCAGGTACACAGGGCATTGGGAACTGCAGGAATGCAGTTTCTTGTAGCCTTTGTTACCCATTCTCATTTCAAGTTTTATTTATGTTCTTGAATCTGTTCTCTGAATATTTGGGTGCCAATAAAATCATTCTGGGTTTACCTCTGGAGAAGCTGATATGAACCTTTCTCTCTCTAGTTTTTGATGTGTAATAGACATGAATTTAGCTGAGCTCTGCTGGACTTAGGTGTAGTCCATTTCAACCTTACTCCTTGGTCTTCTAATTTCTGAATAGTTGAACTACAGCTCCCAGCAGGCAGTGCTGCTAGAGACGAATCTCCCCTCCTCTACCTCACGTGATGGACTACAGTTCTATGGAAACAGTGTGCTACCACTGGAAGCCCATTTTTTCATACATGCACATACATTCCCCTTTCCCCAATTATAGTTACTTGAAGTTAAGTCTTTTGGTGGGTGGAAAAAAGTTTTGAAAGGCAGAGCATGTATAGATTATTGATTTCTATTTCTCAGCCTAGTTCTTTTGCCTTGTAGTTAGTGAAAATTCTGTTTACTGGCTTTAGGTTATCAATATTACTTTGAATTAGAGAGGCATTTTAATGGAATGCTAAGCAGACCATTTGAGTGAAAAATCATAATCTGTTTTTTAATGGAAATATTTAAACCTATTTGTACATAAAATGTAATTCAGACACAAATACATTGTTTTGAAATGTATGGCTTTAGTACATACACATGAATACAACATAAAACTATCAAACACCAATCCTGATTTTCAAATTCTTTTTTTTTTTTTTTAAGAAAATTAGAAATGTTAATATTAAAGTAAGATTTTCTCCTTGGAATTCTTGTTGACATATTTATAGCTTTACCATTCCATTGCTTAATTTTTTTTTTTTATCCTGAGATGGTCTGTTGCTCTGTCACTCCGGCTAGAGTGCATTGGCATAATCATAGCTCACTGCCACCTTGTCTTGAACTCCTGGGCTCAAGTGATCTGTCTCAGCCTTCCAAGCTGGGACTATAGGCTCATGCCACCATGTCCATCTTCTATTGTTTAATTCTAAACATATTAGAAAAAATATCTGTATATACTCTTAAAACATTAAAACTTTTTCTAGTCTTACTTTGATTCTCATGCTCTGAATAGGCAATGTTCATGTAATCACACTGCAGATCTTCTGTAAAGAGGTGTTGATATTTGAATTATTAGCCCATTAAATACAAATCAGTCTCTTCTCTGAATCAAAGAAATAGATATGAACAGGCCGGGCGCGGTGGCTCACGCCTGTAATCCCAGCACTTTGGGAGGCCGAGGCGGGTGGATCACGAGGTCAAGAGATCGAGACCATCCTGGTCAACACGGTGAAACCCCGTCTCTACTAAAAATACAAAAAATTAGCTGGGCATGGTGGCGCGTGCCTGTAATCCCAGCTACTCAGGAGGCTGAGGCAGGAGAATTGCCTGAACCCAGGAGGCAGAGGTTGCGGTGAGCCGAGATCGCGCCATTGCACTCCAGCCTGGGTAACATGAGTGAAACTCCGTCTCAAAAAAAAAAAAAAAAAAAAAAAAAAAAGAAATAGATATGAACAGTCCTGTTCTTAAATTAGATTACATGTATTTTATTGCTATAGAAATTTCTAAATTTGTGATTAATTCTTCTCTCTCTTTTGATAGTAATCCTGTGGATTTGAGTAACCCAGCTATTATAAGCTCTACTCCCAAATTTCAGGAACAGTTCTTGACTGTGAGCGGAATGCCGCAAGAATTGAATCAGTATCCCTGCCTTAAACATCTGCCTCAAATATTTTTTCGTGCCATGCGTGGAATCAGCTGTCTGGTGGATGCATTCTTAGGTGAATTTTGTGTATGTTGTTATATGTATGAAGAGCTTCATTTAGATAACTCTAGAGGCTAACCCTAGGAGTTATTAGAAAACACTCAGAGGAAAAGATGAACAGATTTGATGACAAATAACAAGCGAGGGAAAATTATTTGCAACAAATAAAATAGCCAGAGGGTTATTGTTGTTTTTATGTAAATATTTAGGTTGGTGCAAAAGTAATTGCACTTTTTGCCATTTAAAAGTAATGTGGCAAAAACTGCAATTACTTTTGCACCTACCTAATACATCAAAGAAGTATTAAGAACAAGAATTAGGCCTAGCAGATAAATGGACAAAGGATAAGAGTAAATGATTGGAAAAGAAAAGAGTGTTCATGTACAGTAGCTATCCAAGAAAATACAGATGAAAATGCATTTGGAGGCCGGGCGTGGTGGCTCATGCCTGTAATCCCAGCACTTTGGGAGGCTAAGGTGGGCGGATCACCTGAGGTCAGGAGTTCAAGACCAGCCTGACCAACATGGAGAAACTCTGTCTCTATTAAAAAATACAAAAATTAGTCGGGCATGGTGGCACATGCCTGTAATCCCAGCTACTTGGGAGATTGAGGCAGGAGAATCAGCTGAACCCAGGAGGTGGAGGTTGTGGTGAGCTCAGATATGTCATCGTCCTCCAGCCTAGGCAACAAGAGCAAAACTCCATCTGAAAAAAAAAAAAAAAAAGAAAAACAGTGCATTTCCTTTGGGACCATTCTCATGTATATCATTTAAAAAGTAAATTATACCTTTTGTGAACCATTCTTTTTTTTTTTTTTTTTTTTTTTAAGGGAAGGAGTTTTTTTGTTCTTTTCCCCCGGGCTGCAGTGCAATGGCGCGATCTCGGCTCACCGCAACCTCCGCCTCCTGGGTTCAGGCAATTCTCCTGCCTCAGCCTCCTGAGTAGCTGGGATTACAGGCACGCGCCACCATGCCCAGCTAATTTTTGTATTTTTAGTAGAGACGGGGTTTCACCATGTTGACCAGGATGGTCTCGATCTCTTGACCTTGTGATCCACCCGCCTCGGCCTCCCAAAGTGCTGGGATTACAGGCTTGAGCCACCGCGCCCGGCGTGAACCATTCTTTTAAGCTGTTTTTCACATTTTAGATACATGAAAAGTTAATTTTTTAACCTGTTGAAAGGCAGTGACGTAATATCTGTCATTTTCTAAAATATTTATGTGTACTTATTAACATGTTACAGAGTTAATATATTAGCTCTGATTATGTTTGGCTGCCACCTAACAACCAAAAATCCTAATATGAACAAGATAGTTTATTTTCACATATGCTAAATCCAGGGCTAGGCAGTCCAGGACTGGTATAATGGTTTCATCACCAGCGGGGATTAAAGGCCCTTCCATCTGGTGGCTCTCCATTCTTCGCACATTGCCTCATGGGCCGTGATGGTTGAATGAGTTCCAAACATCCTGTCCAGGAATTAGTAAGGAGAGTCTGCATATGATTGGTCCTTTAAGAAGATTTCTTAGAAGACCAACTCAACTTTCTTATGTTCAAAATGTAGCCACTTCTAGCTGTAAAGGTAGCTTGAAAATTGAGTCATTTTTTTCTTGGTAGCCATGTCCAGCTAAAGTTTGTGTTCTGTTACTTAGGAAGAAACAGTGAATGGATATTGTGAGGGAACTAGCACTCTGCTATTGTCTGTGTGTCCCAAGCCTTCACTAGGTTGCTGGGAAAATTTTTCTGATGGTACATTTTGATCTATGAAGAATAACTTCGTTTGTCTTTTTTTTTTTTTAGGCATTTCTAGACCCCGATCAGACAGTGCTCCCCCAACACCCGTGAATAGATTAAGTATGCCTCAAAGTGCTGCTGTCAATACCACCCCACCACATAACCGGAGGCACCGGGCTGTTACTGTGAATAAGGCCACCATGAAGACAAGCACAGTAAGAGTTTACGTCACCATTGTTATGCTATATATGGTTGGCTTTTTAATCTGCCATTTTTAAAAAATAAAGTCTTGCTGTTTTCTCAAACTTTTCACGGGTATGGGTGTATTCTTGTGTTCTTCTAATAGGTTAGTACTGCTCATGCCTCAAAAGTTCAGCACCAGACATCCTCCACCTCTCCTCTGTCAAGTCCAAATCAGACTAGTTCAGAACCCCGGCCATTGCCTGCCCCTCGGAGACCAAAGGTTAACAGCATCTTGAATCTCTTTGGATCATGGTTATTTGATGCAGCATTTGTTCACTGTAAACTTCATAATGGGATAAACAGAGACAGCAGCATGACTGGTAAATATTACTCAAGAAATACGTTATCATTTTATTCCTTTTCCTTTTTCTTTTTCTTTTTAGACTTTCCTACCTGCAAGATTAATATGTATCTTAAAAAGCTCTCTGTTTCTGACCAGGCAGTGTCTTGTGCTTAACCCCTTCCAGCTGAAGTAACAGAACTTTGGAAGTTTTCCTACCTGTTCTTTTTATGTATGTTCTATGAGGTTTGGCCTTTTGTCTGGTTTTATTAGACATACTTAAGGTTAGCCACATTTTGTTGAATCAGATTTCTTTCGGTAGGTGACCTGGAAGTTCCCTTCATGTCAGCCAGGATAATAACATTTATATAAAGAATTAAAAATTTGAACTGGAAATTTAGTTTGCAAGAAGTGTTTTCTTAGGTTTTGACAGCCATTCACTCATTAGTACATGTAAACAATCAGAAAAGTTTTCCTTTACACTATAACCTCTCAGATTTTAGTCTAGAGAACTTTATTTCAAGGACACACTTTCAAAAATAGTATTTGCTCTTTAACTTAATAAGCTTGATTGGTGGAGAAATAATAACTCAACCCTGATATCTTCATTTAGATTTTATTATAAAAAGGAAACTGTCTAAATAAGAGCTGGTGTTTTTTTTGGTCATCTCAACCATTATATTTGAAAGTAGTGGCATGGGGGCATGATGGATGGATGGGGTAGTGCACAGTGTTTTGAATATTTATAATGTGTCTTAGCTGAAAAATGACAGTGGCTGGCATTTATTGAGCTGCTGTTACTGTGGGCCAGGTACTGTGATATATCCATTAATGAGTGTATTGGTTGTTTGGTAAGAAAGCACTTTTCTACTAGGGTTGGAAATAGATCATAACAAAAAAATGTCTAATTATATTAGTTTATGTGTCTCTAGGGAGACTGTTAATTCCAAGGATAAAACTAATACAATGGCCAGAAGGGTCTCTGCTTTCTCTCAGAAATGAATTTTTAGCTATTATTATCATTTTTAGCTATTAACTAGGGTGTATGTGAACATTATACACATGTAATTATTTTGAATGTTCTTACAAATCTTTAAAAGAATTTAGAGAAGTTGTGAATATAAACACTTTTAGGAATATAATTTGAGAATGCCATGGTTGAGTTTAGGGATACCTTTGCTTACTTTATTTTGTTCAAATTCAGATACTTTTTATTCTGCCATTTTCATATTATAATTTTATTCATAATTTGAAAGTACTGTTTACTTCTGGAATAGGTAAATGTGCTTACTTACAATAAGTGAAAACTTCTAAAAAATCACTTTTGGGTTATGCTTGTCTTTATGTTCATGTACCTTATATTTTGAGTTTTCTGTACCATGTTTATATTTATTAATTTGTATTTTCTAGAATGAATCAGTCCTATTTTTCTTTTTTATTTTTATTAAGATGTAATTCTTACAATTTAACTTTTGGGTATAGAGCTATTGACACTGAAATCTATGAATCTAGAATGGCTCAACCTGTTGCTTGGTTGGTGGGCTTGCTTAAAGGGAACTTATAGATCTTTTTGCTCTCCAGGGAGTTTGTAACAGCTTTGCTCACCCTCTTGTACCAGAAGGTAAAAACCAGACTTCAAATCATATGTGAAAAACGTCTTTAAAATTTTTCCTTGCTGGGGAGAGGATAGAAGTTCCTTTTCTCCTCATTGTGTTCAGAGATGATAAAGGCTGTTACATTACCCAGGAGATATCCAAATAGTTAAAGTGGTTAGAACGCTAGGTGCTAATCTTGAGGTCTCAGGTCTGGTGGGAGGCTTGGGTATACTAACTGTTTTTTAAGTACTGGCTGCCATCAAGGAATTCCGCCATGCAGTTCACCTCTAACTTAAAATGTTTGCTTCTTTGAACTGGTTAGCTTTAGATTTACATGACAGTACACTGTGCTTTGTAAAAGTAACATTGAGCTGGGAAGGGTTAATGAACTAAAATTTTAATGCACGTTATGGGCAGTTCGAAACCTCAATTCTTTGTAGTTGTGTAATTTTCTTCGTTCATTGTTTTGCATGATACAAAACTCATAATTTTGGACCTGAATGCACAATTTCCTATGTTTTTGAACTAGCTTGTGGTATTGTAAAGCTTTTAATTTAACTTTTAAAAAGCTAAAAAGCTTCTTAATTTATTGTAAAATTTCACCATCTTTAAAGTATTTTATAATTACTACTGTCCTTTGATTTGTTTCCATTTATTTCTATTATCTTGCAGCATCTTTTATCCAAATTCTTCTTTCTTATAAATCTTGTAAGTAGGAACCAGAAGCTTCTCCTTAATTGCAGTCATGTTTTTATTTTTTTCATAATTCCATTAAAAAATTTGATTGTCATTGTCTCTTGTAGTTTTTGCACTTGGGAAGAAAAATACTTTTCTGTGTTTTGAATGGGGAAGATTGTTGGCAAAAGCAAATTAATCTGCCTGAATCAGTCCCATTATTTCTGTATACTAGTCTGGTCATGTCATGAATTCAAGGACTTTGCACTAACTGTGTTTTGGCTTTTTTTTTTTTTTTTTTTTTTTAAATTTTTAATTTTTTTTTTATACAGATTTAGTGTTTGATTTGTATGCATTCTGCATGTAGTGTTTTTCAAATGTATTATTGCTGGATAGCTTATTCAGGATTAAAAACGGCTCATGGGAAGTTGCATAAAGATTTACGCTTGACTCTGCATTCTATTAAATCTATTATAAAATAAGCATTTCATGTAGAGTAATGAAAGATTTCAGAGTGGTTTTCAATACACTGTGAAATCTTTTGTTAAAAATAAAAGCAACTTTCGAAGGGCTTCTGTTTCAGTGATAACGAATGACCATGGAATCTTTCTTATCAATCCAATTTTCTGATTTATCAACCTCAAGTTAGCTGCTGTCTGTGGTTGTTAAAATTCATTCTCATTTTGCTTGGTTGGGCAATTCTTTGGTGTGTGTTTTGGAGTTGGGTGGATGGTGGGAATGCTCTCTTTTTCTCCCTGCCCACTTCTCATCCTTACTTTGGCCTCTCCCTCAAGTATACAGATTGGCATGGGGTTGCCCATTTAATTATGGTGTCCATCCGGGGTAATGTGTAAATTGCAGTAGCTATTTTTCTTAACGTTTAAGCATTATTCTGTAGGGGGAAGAAAAAACAGGAAAGAAATAATAGAAAAGCCAAATTTTGTATTATATATCTGTATATGGATACAGATATATACAAATGTACTCTGCTGATCAAAAATTCAGTTGAAAAATGCTTCTTGTACAAACTGTTAAACTGACAATGCCACTGTAAATTAATTGTAACTTATTTTCAAAGAAGATTTCAGAGAGCCCTTTTTAAAAACATTAAGACATAGTTGCTAAACAAAAGCACTTATTGGATTCAAGTAGCTATTTAATGACACCAACATTTGATCTTTGTGTCCAGGGTCCCATGAGCCTATTTGGCATATTGCAAATATAATAAAACCCTCCTTTTCTCTCCCCAGCCATTACAACACAAGCTAGCATGGAGTTTCGACGGAAAGGGTCACAAATGTCCACAGACACCATGGTTTCCAATCCTATGTTTGATGCAAGTGAATTTCCTGATAACTATGAAGCAGGAAGAGCTGAGGCTTGTGGGACACTGTGTAGGATTTTTTGTAGCAAGAAGACTGGAGAAGAGATTCTGCCAGCTTATTTATCCAGGTCTTGGAATTTTTGTTTGTTTTTTCATTTATATAGCTTTGTTAGTGAAGCCATTGTAGCGCGGCTTAGCAGACTGAACTGATGAGTGAATGTTGGTCTGAAATACCTACAGATGTCTGTAAGTGACTGGCATTTGCCTGAAATCTTTCATTTTACCTGCCTCATCAGATTTGGTAAAGACCCTTTAAGACCTTTTTTGTTTTAGAAGTGCTATTTATGTCATCTTATTTGAACCTTTTTAATATGGAGAGATTTCAAAGGACTACAATAATTTGTTAACAAATTTTTGGCACAGTATTCACATGTAGGCAGTCCAGAAATAAGTCAGCTGTAAATCCTGCCTCCAAGGAGCTTATTTTCTGGGCAAAGCCATGAACAAAGCCATGTACACACATGACAATGATCCAACAGGAATAGGATGTTGATGGGAGAGGCACAGATAATGGGCTGTTGGCATTCAGGGGAAGAAGCAGCACATATTTGTTTACTCCAGGGGTAAGAGTTATGGAGGATTGAATGATTATGCTGAACTTAGGGTAGTATTTAGACTCTGTTAGGAAGGTGGTTGGGGTCATCTTCTCCAAATCTCTGGCTTCAACTATCTTTATGAATGCCTGTGCCATCCATTCAGTTGCTCAGTCCAGAAACTAGAGTCATTTTAGAATCCTCTTCTGTATCTTTAGTTGATCAACCAACTCCTCCCTTTCTGCTCCTTAACCCTCTTTCTGATCTCTCTTTTTACTCTGTCCCCACCATTACACTTTAGACTTTGTCACTTTTCTCCTAAGTTAACTCATAGTGGCCTCCTGTTTATCTTGACACTGTTTTGCCTTCCTTAACTGATCATTCACACAGGTGCAGAAGTGAAGTTAATATCAACAGTATTTAGATATCTGCATACTTGCTAGGTTCTCAGGACATAGAACTAAACTGACTCTATCAGAGGGAACCAAGTACAGAAGTTTATAGATATGAGAAAGAATGGTATATACAGGCAGCTAGGCAGGATGATTTTATTTATTTATTTATTTATTTATTTATTTATTTGAGACAGAGTCTTGCTCTGTTGCCCAGGCTGGAAAGCAGTGGCTTGATCTCTGCTCACTGCAGCCTCCACCTCCTGCGCTCAAGTGATTCTCCTGCTTCAGCCTCCCAAGTACCTGGGACTTCAGGCAAATACAAAAACCACCATGCCTGGCTGATTTTTGTATTTTTAGAGATGGGGTTTCACCATGTTGGCCATGGCTGGTCTTGAACTCCTGACTCAGGTGGTCTGCCCACCTCGGCCTCCCAAAGTGCTGGGATTACAGGCGTGAGCCACTGTGCCCGACCTGGGTTATCTTAACTATAGGGGCTTGGCTTTAAGCAACAGAAACCCTTTCAACCTGACTTAAGCAAAAATAGAGTAAGTTATGAGAGCTAGTGATATTTATTAAATTCTGAGGTCAGGAAGTACAGCATGGCCTCATGAAGAGCAGATACTCAAGGACCAGAACAGTTTTATTCCTCTCTCTTTCTGTCTTACTGGTCTCCCAGAACTGCTTCATTCTTCTCTTCTCTGCAGATCATTTTCTCATATTGTAGTGTGCTTCTAAGTTCTCAGTTTTCATGGCCTTGTCTAGGTGACCATCAGAGCCAATTAGTGTCTCTGAATTTTAATTATAGATTCCTGGGAAGGAAGATCTAATTAATCTGCCTGTCTCTGGTCTAGTCAGCTGCAGTTGTGAAGGTGGGTCACATAAGGGTGCTGGAGCTCACTCCTTGTTGTGGGGGCACATTTCTCAGGAACTGTGGGCTGGGGAGATACCCTAAATGGTACCGTAGTAGTAGCAGGGAAGACTATGACCATGAGCTTTCTGACTGAGCCATAAGACTGAATGGGTGGTAGTAGGACAGACTGAAACCACAGATTTGTGAGAGGGCAAGTGATCAGTTTAGTTTTGAATTGAATTTCTGTTATTTTTTATTTATTTATTTTTTTTAAAGACAGGGTTTTACCATGTTGGTCAGGCTGGTCTAGAACTCCTGGCCTCAGGTGATCCACCCGCCTCGGCCTCCCAAAGTGCTGGGATTACAGGCATGAGCCACTGGGCCCGGTGAATCGATTGAATTTAAAGTGCCTGTGGGATATTTATTAATAAATAGTATTAAGTCCTACTGTGTGCCAGATATTGTGCACAGAAGTACCATAGTAATCAGTAGGCATCCAGATATCCAGTAAGCTTTTGGCTAATAGATCCGGAGCTCAGTTGAGAGGTGTCGGTTAAAATGATTTGATTGTATTCAGTGACTTAAGAAGTGTTTAAAATCAGGCTAGTAAAAGAGAGAGTGTCGAGAACTGAGGTTGTCAGCCTGAGGAACACCACTGTTGGGGGCAGATAGAGTAAAAGGACGTGTGAAAGGAAATGGTCATAGAAATCAGGAAGAACAAGGAGAGAAGAAGGGAGTAATCAAAGGGTTGAATGCTTTCAGAAGGCAGACTGAGTTAAGACTTAGTCATGCCTTCTAGATTCTGAAATCAGGAGCCCCTTAGTTATTTGCTAGTATGGTTTTAGTTGAGTTTTAGGGAGAGAAGATAGATTGAAATGGGTTGAGCAGTAACCAGTAGGTGAAGAAGTTGTTTCTGAAGAGTTTTGCAAAGAAGAGAAAAGTACTTCACAGTAGAAGAGTGTAACAGTATAGTTGCTCTTGAATAACAGGAGATTGAATGCTTAGTTAATTAGAGGTTGGGGGTGGAGTTAAAACTAAGGTATATTTAGGTATTTTCCTAAAAGGAATCTCATTCAGGTGACCTTCATGATGAATACAGAGGATCGAATACAGGTTGCTTTCTTTCATTGTACCCCCAAAAATAATAGGGAAGGGACAAAAATGTAAACATACTTTTTTCCATAGGAATTACTAAATTTTGCAACATTTTTCTGTTACAGAATTTAATTCAGCAATTCCCTCAGTTTATTGAAAAGTACTGCAGCCTATTGTTTTGTTTTGTTCTGTTGCCTTATTTGCTGCCCCCTATAGCTTTGAGTTGCAAGGCTTAAGCTTTGAGAAGGTATAATGAACATGAATTTTTTTTTCTTCATTAAGAAGGATGATTTGGGTCTTAGTGTATATGAATCGGAATTGTTTTAATTCCCGTAATACCTTTTAAAAGGTAAAATTCAGTTAATTCCAGTAAATTCCAGTAATTCCAATAATAATACCCTTTAAAGGGTAAAAATAGTGAAGGATGGAAATAGACTTTCAGATAACTATGTAGCAAATAATAATTATGAAAACTTTTGATCAGCAGTTTGTTTAAAATTTTTTTCTTGCTTTCCTAGATTTTACATGCTTTTAATTCAAGGTTTGCAGATAAATGATTATGTGTGCCATCCTGTCTTGGCCAGCGTTATTCTAAACTCTCCTCCTTTGTTCTGCTGTGACTTGAAAGGGATTGATGTTGTGGTTCCTTACTTTATTTCAGCTCTTGAAACCATTTTGCCTGACAGGTAAGCTATCATTCTCTGCTTTTAAATCAACTGTCTGATTTGGCCTGGTCTGTTGGTGCTTCCTCCCCAGTTTCCCAATGTATTCTGTCCAGTTGTCTTCATAGTCCAAGGGGACTCAGGCCACATTAAATAAGTGTAGTGTGTCCGGACCCACCTCATCCCTGATCTCCTTCAGTTCTGATTTGTCTGTGGGGTTGTTGAATCCTTTCTGGCCTGGTCTAGAAGGGTAAGAGCGACTCCAGCACAGAGGTCTTACCTTTGTAGAGTAGGCCTTACATTTTAGATAAAGAAATCAATCAATCAGTAAGTGTCTAGTTTAGTTTGGTAACAGTTTAACTTAGAAATACACAATACACATATACACAATGCTTTTGGATTTCCAATGGATTTGGAAAAATTGGCATTATATATATTTTGCAGTAGCTAAAAATGTATTTTAGTTAAAAATACTAATAGCTTTTTATTTTTTCGGCAGAGAACTCTCAAAATTCAAAAGCTATGTAAATCCAACAGAATTGAGAAGATCCTCCATTAATATCCTGCTTTCTTTGTTGCCCCTCCCTCATCATTTTGGCACAGTCAAATCTGAGGTATTGTTTTATTAAAGTTTTTTATATTGTATATTCTGTGTTGTGTACTAATTTAAGTCAAATTGTATGTTAAAAATGGAACAGGAGCTTTTTTATTTTTAAACTCAAGTTATTTCACTCAAGTTATTTCAAGTGAATTAACAAAATTGATTTGTGATTTTTTTTTTTTCCCTGTCAGTTTTTCTACCAGTTTTCAAGCAGTTATAGGCTAAGGACATTTATTAACATAGTGTTAGTGACAGAATTAGCACAGCGGCTAATACTAGACTGAAAGCTTTGCTCATTAGACTGATCTCTTCCTCTATCTAGCTGTTCCCATGTGGGCATCATGAGCTACAACAGCTGATGTTAAATATTATTTGTTTTTTCCATAGGTGGTCCTGGAAGGAAAATTTAGTAATGATGAAAGCTCTTCTTATGATAAACCAATAACTTTTCTGTCCCTGAAGTTGAGACTTGTGAATATATTAATAGGTGCCTTGCAAACAGAAACGGACCCCAACAACACCCAAATGATACTAGGTTTGTATTCACACATTATTTTGCAAGTGAAAACCCAAGTACTGTTGACTGCAGGCCTGCTGAGGAGGCAGCAGTTGGTGACGGGAGCCTAAACCTAGTGTAGCTCTACTTTTCTGAGTCAGAGGCACAGTTAGTTTTTTATGTAAAAAAAATTTAAAGAGGTGAGATCAGGGAAGTAAAGTGTTTGCAGTTTGTCTTGGTTGGTCATTTTATTTGTGCTGTTGCTTTCTTCCTCCCTCGCTCTTTCTCTTCCTCCCTTCTCTCCTTTCCCTGCTCTTTGCCTCTCCTTCCCATCTCTCTCTTTTTTTCTCCTTTCTTTCTGCCGTCCTTCCTCCTGCCTCTTTCTCGTCCTCCTGCCCATTACTTACAGGTCTCATTGGTCTGGATTTTCCTTATAATCCTCTGTGCCTCCTTCACACTGGCCTTTTTTTTCTCATTCACTGAACACATCCAGCTCATGATTTCTTCAGAGCATTACTTTATATTCCTCCTGCTAGGATGTTATTTCCCTAGATTTTTGTTTGGCTTTTCTTTATCATCTTAGAGAGAGCTTTCCTAACAGACCTTGCTAAAAATTATCTTATTTTATCTTTCTTTTTCACAGCACGGAACCTGAAATTGTCTTATTTAAATATTTGAACTCCCCCTTTTTGACATGTTTTTCAAAATATAAAGTATTTGTTGATTGACAGATCTAGTGTTAGCACTAATGGACAGTGTTATCTCCCTGAAAATCTTCAGAGAGACCCTGATGAACAAAGAAGCTCTTCTTTTCTTCCTCTGATCTGATGTTCCAATTGGGTAAACAGTAATATTTATATTTGAAACAGCAAATTATATTAGAAAAAGGGTTTTCAGTTGTTGCTTCTGGGTCTCAGTACCACTGAAGTGCAACCCTGGGTATTGAGGTCACCACCCTCGATAGTGGAAGCTCTCAGAAAAGTAGTGCTTTCCTCAGCCACCTAATAGGAGTCCCCACAGAACCATGTGACTGCAAATACCATCCCAGCCCTCAAACCTGGGTAACACTTAGAACTCCCTGCTTGTGGAGCAGTTGATCTCTGAGAATGCCTTGACCTTGCAGTGGTTAGAGGCTTACTTTCTTCTCTTCATTAGCAGGACAAGCATTAGGCTTCTTCCTAGCATCTTAGATTTTTATCTGTTCAAAAGTGGAATCAGATGTTTCCTTTAAGCCCTTATGTTCCCAGAGGAGGTGGGGTATATGTCCTTCCGATAGGAACACAGTCCTTGGAATGGTTTCTGAAAGGCCTCTAAAACTGAGAGAGACAGGCCTCTAAAACCGAGAGAGACAGATCCTGAAGAGATGGGTCACAACGGCCAAAAACCATATTTTTCCGGAGACACCCAATTAGTAGGTGACTGGAGTTGTCTGTAGCTGGGCAAAAAAAAATTTGAGGTTCTCATAAGTCTCAAATGCCATTAATTTAATTGTGGACACGATTTTCTAGACTTGGAGTTTTCTGCTCTTTATATTCCCAGTTATGCTATATAGCTATATTCTTGTTCATGCTGGGCTTTTAGAGACCTTGTGAAGTTAATGTGGTCAGTCTGACCAAGGGGAACAAGAGTTTACCAGTGGGTTCGATAACTGTCTCAGATGCATTCTGAACACAGAGGGTGGTGTATGTGGAGGGGGATGTTTTGACATGTGAGAATTTCCAAGTTACAATGTTTTAGGTTATTTAAATAACATAATTTTGCTTGAAATCATATAATTTCCACGATTGAAGCGTATTTGGTTTTATTATACCCTTGCTCTGAGGCGCTCCCTATGTACTTTCCAAGGAAGAGTCAGTTGTTACTCTTGCGATAAAGTGGCAAAGCTCCTTCCGTCTTCTCTTTATCCACAAGAGTGGATAAAGAGTACCTCCCACTGAGATGAGATGCAGTGCATTAGGCTCACCATCTCATTTCTGTCCTAGCCTTTCCAGGACAATGGGTTCCTTGATAATAAGTAAATGAGGCTTACTTTAGGGTATGCAGATGTTGACAAGCCCCAGACTGTGTTGCTTTAATCATTCTTAAAAAATAGTGTGGTCAGAAAAGTATTGCTGTGACTTTTGTTTTATACTTTTTGTTTTATTTTATTTATTTTTCTTTTTACCTGTAGAAAAAAACAGTAATTTCTGTTTTATTTTTAAGACTAGAACCTAGTTTTTAAAATATTCCATAATATTTTCCTTAGTTTGTATTACCCTTGAAATTGAGATGCTTACATCTGGTCTTTTATACTAGTTTTAAAAAATCTGATAATGAGCATGTTTTTGAATAAAGCAAAGTGTGACCCTCACGTTCATTTTTTAAAATTTATTTATTTAGGTTTTATTTATTTAATTTTTTTTCCCCCCTGAGACAGGTTCTTGCTCTGTTGCCCAGGCTGGAGCACAGTGGTGCAATCATGGCTCACTGCACCCCAACCTCCCGGACTCAAGTGATCCTCCCACCACAACCTCTGAAGTAGCTAGGACCACAGGCGTGTGCCACCATGCCTGGCTAATTGTTTTTTTAGGGGAAAAAAAAAATGAAGTCTTGCTATATTGCCCAGGCTAGTCTTGGACTTCTGGGCTCCCCCAGCCCTCCCACCTTAGCCTCCAAAAATGCTGGGATTACAGGTGTGAGCCGCTGTGCCTGGCCCACATTTATTTTAGGAAAAATTTTTTTTTTGAGACAGAGCCTCGCTCTGTCACCCAGGCTAGAGGGCAGTGGCATGATCTCAGCTCACTGCAGCCTCTGCTTCCCAGGTTCAAGTGATTTTCCCACCTCAGCCTCCCAAGTACCTGGGATTACTGGCACCCACCACCATGCCCTGAAAATTTTTGTATTTTTTAGTAGACACTGGGTTTTTACCATGTTGGCCAAGCTGGTCTCGAACTCCTGATCGCAAGCGATCTGCCTACCTTAGCCTTCCAAAGTGCTGGGATTATAGGCGTGAGCCAATGTACCTGGCCAGACTTAGGGAATTTTTAAAGAGTCTCTTCTGATCAATCAGTGGATTTATTATTAGAGTTGACCCTTGAACAACATAGGGATTAGTGATGCCAACTCCCTCAGCAGTTGAAATCCACATATAACTTTTCGATTCCCTGAAAACTTAACTGCTAATAGCCTACTGTTGCCCAGAAACCTTGCCAGCAGCAGTTGATTAACACATATTTTGTATTTTATACATATTAATATATACTACATTCTTGCAATAAAGTATGCTGGAGAAAAGAATATTTTATTAAGAAGTACATGGTGTAATCCCAGCACTTTGGGAGGCCTAGGCGGGTGAATCATGAGTCCAGCCCGGCCAACATGGTGAAAGCCCGTCTCTATGAAAAATACAAAAATTAGCCAGCTGTGGTGGCACCTTCCTGTAATCTTGGCTACTTGGTAGGCTGAGGAAGGTGAATGCTTGAACTTGAGAGGTGTGGGTTGCAGTGAGCCCAGACTGTGACATTGCACTCCAGCCTGGGCAACAGGAACAAAACTCTTGTCATTCTGTCTCCCAAAAAAAAAGAAAAAAATCTCTCTCTCTCTCCCCC